GGCTCGCTAAGATAAGTTGATTTCCGGGGAAAAGACGGGCTCTTGATAGCTGGGGGGCTCGAAGAACAAGCCTCCGAGAAGGACTGCCTGCATAACGAAGTGACAGAGCTTGGTAAGCATTGCTGCTTGGTGCATTTCGCCATGCCCACTCTGCTGCTTGGTTAAATACCTTCCGCGCGAGATTCGAGAAAATTCTGACTATTTCGTCGGCGCGATGCGCAGCGAAGGGTGGGGGAAGGGCGATACGGTACGAGGGCCGTCCGCGAAAGATGACGCAACCCTGCATCACCACGCCCCTTTCCATCGAGAACTTTCTAGGGCTTGCTCGGCTGCCGATGCGAGGAGGTTCGTCGGCGAACCTACGCTTCCGAGAGGGGAGAGGGACGCGCGCCCGGGGAGCCTTTGGATGCTTGTTTTCTTTTTTTATCGTTGACCTCGCGGCGTCACTCCGGCGCTTTGTGGCAAGAATTTGGCGGCGCGCCCTTTTTGAGCGCTCGTTTTGTGACACTGCCCCCCACTTTAATAATATTATCTCATAATATTCAAAACCACACAAACGAGTGCGAACAGTCCCCACACTCTCAAAGACTGTAACATAATTGGTCGCTCATGACACTTCACATTCACAATAGATCACTCAATACAATTGTACATTGTAATTCAATCTCACACACATGAAATATAACCACAGGTACATGAGTACAACACTCCATCACATATTCCAGACAATACAAATGTACAAAGTTCTTTCATTAAAACAATTGTACAATGCTATACATCACATCACCGCCACAAACATTTTGATTCGCTCGACATACAGCTGTGACACAAGATAACAAAACACAACACATTGCGGCTCAACACAGCCAAACGCATTCCGATTTGACCTCAGCACCTATCCTGAGTACTTCGAGCTGCGCTTGCGCCCTTTCTTGCGGTGCTTTCTCAATCTCTTCTTATTGTTCTTGTTTCTGTTCCGATGAGCCCTCTCCAACGACGGTATCTGAGGCGGCGTCTCAGCCATCGTTGCCCATTTCGACACCGTTAACGGGTCATAACGTTCAGCCGATCCTGTCACCCGCTTGTTCATGTCACGACATTGGGCCTGGCTGGCTGACTTCGTCACCTTTACATTGTCGGTCGGTTGAGGTCGTGCTGACGTAAGTCCAGCTGCCCAGCACGTGAACTCATTCAACACGATCATCTCCTCATTCACTGTCTCTTGTACCCGGGCTTCACCTTGGGCTCGAGTGAAATCCTTCACAGGATCGTTCTCCGCTGTATCTCGCGGTCCCTGTGTCGGCGGGGGCTCCATCTTCGGGTCTTTCCCCAAACATTCTGGATCATTCGGCCCTCGCGCCCCGTCGATGTTTCCGATGACGAGGTCGTACAGGGGGATCGTCATGCATAGAGCAGTAACCTTCCCGCTGAAGTACGTGGTTTCAACCTCAATCTCTGCTTCGGGAAGCATCCGAACCGTACTGTCAATTAGGCAAACTGGTTTAGTTTTGCCTGTTAACTCACTTTCCCGTACCAAATATCTCCGCACGATAACCGTGGAGCTACCGGTGTCTCTTAACACCGTAATCTTCTTGCCCGCAACTTTTCCAGGCAGCGTTGGCATTCCCTTCGTAACACCGGTTGGCTGTTTTGTCAATACAGCACCCACAATAGGAAGTTTTTCCCCATTTTCAACTCTACAAATCCGTCGGTGATGGCATCACCATCGGATTTCCTTGTTGCTAGCACACAGGATACCTGGGGAGTTTGACTCACTTCTTTACGACAAGCGTCTGCTTTGTCCCCAGTCTGACCACACTTGAAACATTTTAATACCGTAGGGATCGTAAATATCGTTCGACAGTTGTTCGCGCGATGACCCGCTCGGTTACACAGAAAACGTCGCGGAACACTCTCCGGTGCACGCTTCTTTTGTTAGGGTGCCGAATTTTTCGAATCTTCGGGATATTCCTTCTTGACCTTGGCCAAATTAGTTCCACCTTGCGCTTCCAAGAATTGATGAGCCAATTCAAGCATGCCTTCAAGTGACTCAGCCTTCCTCTTTTTCAAGTACAGCGACAGGCTTGGGTGGCAGCTAGTGAGAAACTGCTCTCTAATTAGGAGCTCTCTAAGTTCATCGTACTCCTGCGCTGTCCCTGAAAGTTCAATCCAATCGTCGAAATAATGGCAAAGTCGGGAGGCATACTGCGTAGCCGTCTCACCATGAGCTGGCTTTCCTGTTCGAAATCTGTCCCGGAATTCCTCCACAGTAAATCTAAATCGCTTCAGCAAAGCAGCTTTCACCTTTGCATAGTTGGCTGCATCGGTCGGCGTCAGCCTACCGTACACACTGAGCGCTTCACCACTCAAAGCAGTTGCCCATTGATGTTCCGGCCAATTCTGGATCCTCGCAATCGTCTCAAATCGGTGAAGGTACGCGTCAAGGTCGTCCTTCCTTTCATCAAACGCTACGAGCAGCTTGCTCGGGTTCAAGCGGAAGCCATGATCTTCCCGTTCGCTGCTTTCAACTCTAGCTTGGACGGGAGTTTCACTTCGCTGTTGCAAACGGAGCCGCTCGAGTTCCATCTCGTGCTGCCGCTGCCGTTCCCTTTCCTCTATTTCTTCTTTCAGCTGTCGCTCCTTTGCCTCTCTTTCTTCTCTCGCCCTCTCAGCGGCCAGCTTTTCTCTCTCTAGCTCCAACTTCAATTGCTGCTCTCTTTCTTCTTTCAGCTGTCGCTCCTTTGCCTCTCTTTCTTCTTTCGCCATTTCAGCGGCCAGCCTTTCTCTCTGCAACTCAGCTGCTTTTTCTTCCTTGGCCCTTTCAGCTGCCAACCTCTCTCGTTCCAACTCAGCTGCTTTTTCTTCCTTGGCTCTCTCAGCTGCCAACCTCTCTCTCTCTCCACCGCCTCTTTTTCCTTCTGGCTTACCAACTTCCGTAGTTCGGCGCCAGAAAGACCCATCTTCTCACCAAGAGCTACTAACTTTTCGAGATCCATGGTGTCTCGCAAATAAAGTCTTGCCGCGTGCAAAAAGTATCTGCCTAAATCAGTCTATCGGAACACTCCCTGCACTTGTTAACGAGAACACTGAACAACACACAAAATCGTTCCGAGAGCACTATCAACAACTCGAGGGTCTTTCTCCCTACTTTGGACACACTGTACACCAAAAGGTCCTTGTCGCGGACGCCAGAATAATTGTCACGGGTCCCGTTAATTAGGGAGGCGATCGCCGGGCTAATTCCAAGGGCCGAAGTATCGGCCCCCCCGAACCGCATCACGAAAGCGTGGACAATTTAAAAGTGGTCTTATTAGGTGCACCAGCGGACGCCGGCTGTGGCCCAAAGAACAAGTCAGAGCCGAGAGTTGATAAACAAAAGAAAATTATATTCTCAGTTATGGCAGATCAAAACGATACACAAGTATGCACACTCGACAATAGTTGAATACAATATGTCACCAATCAAACAATGTACTACACAGTACAATCAGCCACACTCGAAACAACGGACACAGACAACAATACGCACTACAAGGCAGTCGCATGCATCGAACAACCAAGACAAAGACTAAAGAGTTAGGAAACTTATTCAGTCCAAAGTCTTTGGAACAAAAGTCTGGATGATACTCTTCCGAGAATCACTCACTCAAAGTCCAGCGTTGTTCGTTCCGCTGCCCCCGAAGTTTCTCTTCCAGGAAACCTCGCGTCTTCAATTGGCCGCTCTCCAAGCTTCAAGCTTCTTCGCCGGAAACACGTCGGCTTCCCACACGCAGCTGTTGCCACGCGTCTTCGCTCGATAGCGGTAGACACACACTCTTGCCTGTAGCTCGAGTCTTCACCCCTCAGGTGGGAATCCTCTTCTTCTCCTCCTTTGTCACGGAAGACAAAAGGCTTCGCCCACAAGGCGGAACACCCTACGCACTATGGCGCATACCTTCTTCTTCTCCTGCTTTGTCACTAAGGACAAAACCTTAGCCGACTACACGGCGGAACACCCTACGCACTCTGGCGCTAACTTCCTTCTTCTCCTGATCTCCCATCTCTGCTGCTCGGTTAAATACCTTCCGCGCGAGATTCCAGAAAATTCTCAACATTTCGTCGTCGAGCACTGGTTTTGTGACAGACAGTACTCAGCTTCGTACGATGACGGGCCGAACAGATTGTCATAAAGCAGAGCCATGTTTCAGAGATGCAAATGATGAAGAAAGAATGCGCGAGTGAATCTATAAAGTTATAAATATTATCCAAATTTTTGCGGGGGCTATGCGCGTTGAAATGAACCAAGGAGCGATTACTATCACCTAGCATAAGTTTAGCCTCGTCAGGGGATAGCAAAGCCATGATGGCAAGATAAAAGTGAACGAGTGTTCAGCACGAAAATGGGCGTAGGACTCAGTGGCTTTGAAAAGATGCTAAGATCACTGTCTTTGATAATGCGATATACTCTGCCATCACCAGACTTCTACGCCTTGATTTGGCAATTGTCTGTCCACAGAAATTGCCATTTGTGCGCTTTTTTCAGAGTTAGGGCCTTAGCAAACAATCTTTTGTTTCTGGAGACAGGTGATCATTGGCATAGATTGCCTTACTTGAGCTACCGGAGAAACCAACATCAGAAGTGTTCGGACGGGTCTTACGCGCTTTACGAACAAAGTCATTTTTCTATTCACGGCAGCAGAACCATGCAACAATGTTCTTTTCATCTGATTTTGTTGAAACGTGATGAACTGTGTCAAAGTCGCTGGGCATGACAAGACACTGAATAGCTTCGCCAATCTGCATCACAATGGCCGCACAGTCCTCACCCTGAGTGACCGTAACGCCCTTGATTTCAACATTATTGAGCCTCGAGTATTGCTCCAACTCCGCAACCCCTATAGTCAGTGCCCCCTCTAGTCAGTGCCTCATTTGAGTCAGTGCCTCAACCACAATGAACGAAAAATACATTTATTTCAAAGCAGTTTATGAGAAAAAATTTGTGATTGCCGTTTGCTTCTGTTTGCTGAATCTTGCAGCAGAAAGCAAGTCCTGCAGGTTGTATATGTGCCCGAGTGCTTCCTCGGCGTTGCTCTCAGCAGTGAAAAACCGCTGCGCGAGGGCAAGGCCTGCGGCTACATCAGCAGCCCGCGGTAGTGGCTCACTTGCGGCGGCGTCGTCGTCAACCTCAGTTTCGTGACTAGGCTCGCTGGGCCGAACCATCTCCACGATCTCAGCGTCCGACAGTGCACCGCACGTTTCTACCGAACTGTCAGTGGCAATGTACTCCTCGAAAAGGACGTCGCCGAGAGGTGGCAGGAGGCCATCAACGTCAAGCTCACTTGTGTCTTCTTCCCCCACTGTACATGACGCCAAGTCAAGCGTCTGATAAGGCCCGCGAGTTAACATAGTAAATGCGCGCGGAGCTTCGTCGCATGTGGAAACGCTGATCAACAACGAGGCCCGGAACCGGAACCGCCGGAGCAGCCGCTTTGTGATCTGGGGCGCTGCATGCAACTGGGATGCCATCAGCTGATGCTTTGAACTGCGGCGCTGTGATCAACTGCGATGCCCTTGGGTGCCGGTCGCACACGCATTGTTGTTTAGCACTTCGAAAATAGGAAATTTAATAAACATTACGATTTCCTCCGGAAATTCGATTAAAAATAAATTCGAATTAACCAAAATTCCAGACCTCTAGCTTCCAATTACCGAGAATGTCTTCCTGTTGAACTGCATGCAAAACTGACGGGACCCCCACTCCACTTCCAATTAACCGATAATTCCAATTAAGCGACTTCAAGTTATCGGGAGTCGACTGTAGTAGCCTTCAAAAGGCAACGTGCTTTGTTTAGCGGTTGTTTTGGTCGTTCTAATTCAGTTAGTAAATGATCGTGAAAGAGTACTGACACGAAAACTGTATGTGTCATTTCTTCTGTTGCAATGAGTGGCTAATGACCCAGTTATCTCGACTGCAAACCTTTTTTAACAAAACCCAAAGCAGTTAAATTTTTTAAAGACATTTTCATAGTGCACTGCTCGGGTGTATGAACGTCGCGACACAAAGTACCACAGTGCTGCAGACTTGTGAGGCTGCATATTTTTTTTTTGCTTGTTTGAGAAAAGCAGTGCACTGGCTCGTTTAAATGTACATGATGTGTGTCTGCTGCAATAAATTGTCCTCTGTCACGCCTCTTATCCTCCATCCTCCTAGAATTATACGCATTGGGATGTGATGCATTTAACATTATAACTACACTGACTTTCATTTCTCTTTGGGCCAGGTGAATGAGCTGGTCAGCTGCTCTACATCATTCTTGTTAGTTTTTTTTTCTTTGGGTGTTGAAGGGACACCAAACAGCGAAATAATTTTTCGCATACTATTGAAGTATGATTTCACAATAACCACTCTTACCGCGACGCGACGCCTGGCAAGTGGGAAACCGCGCAAAGAAAATGTCTCACCAAACACCATGACATCATTAATTTTGATGGTGTTTATTGGGTTCTACATAGCATATAATCGATAAAAACGAAGGACATTGTCATCTGTGGGTGACATAGACCTAGCATACGAATTTGCAGAAAATATCACCGAGCCAATCGCAAAATTATAAAAAATACATTTAAAAGCTTTTGACATCGCGCATGGACATTTCGGCACAACTTTCATTGGTGAAACTTCAACCTTAATTTTCTCCGCTAATAATGAACTTGGGATAGCGAAACATATGGCATTGGCTATAAAGTTCTCAGAGTGCAGTTTGTCTATCTGAACAAGGTCACTGTTTCTCTTCATTACCCTTGTAATGCCTTTGTAAAATACACTTGAAGCTTGTGAATCAAGTGCAAAGCTGCACAGCAAACTAGTGTTGGGAGTACGGAGTTTGTACAACATGATTTCACCCATGTAGCATTGCTGCAGTGAAGGTAACCAAACTGCTCGAGACTAAAACAGCAGAGACCTATAAATCTCTCCAGAGTTTCCTTCCACAGTTTCAACCACGTGGGTTCAACAGTGGCAAAACATGACATTTGTTCCACTTGTTTTTTACAACTCTATCATAAACAGAGACTAACACATGCATTTTTTATTTTAAATGTTGTTTTTGAATTTTTAGTGGATAAGCTGTCCTGAAATAACACTGATATTATTGAAAATAAAATCATTTTGAAGAATAGATTCAATAGCTCTGCTGCTAGCCTCCTTTATGACATGCATTCATGACGATCACATTCATTGGCAATTGTAAGAAGCTTCACCCTAGTAGTAAATTTACCATGCATTAACGTTTCAAAAAAATTAATTTCCTGTATATGACAGCATCTATTAAAACATCTTTTCTTGTGACGTATAGAAAAAACAAATGCTCTGCTCACACCATGAACATATAGCAGGCAATGCCAATCAGAAAAGAAAAATGAACATGGCAGAGCCAAGTAAAATTTCGAGGAGGAAGGATGTGCAGGAGAAGCGGACTCCATCGCCAGTCGAACCGTACAAAAAGAAAAAAAAAAAGCTCTTGGCTTGGTTTACAATGTTGTTCTTGCTGCTAACATGTTTTGCCAAATTTAATCTTCAGTGGTGAATTCTTGTGATGCGCATCTTAATGGGGCTGTCTTGGAGTTCTTTCTTTTACAATGAAATCAAGAGTTACGATCTACATAGTGCCAACGAATAGCCAACTTTAATACATAGACTACACAAGCCATCATCTATGACACGGCAAAGAATAATTGTTCGTCAGACAGGCAAAGCGTTTAAGAAGCGTCTGTAGCGACAACGATCACTATGCTCACCAATTAGGCAAGCTAAAAAAGACATTTGGTGAAATCAACTGCACAACACTCTGAACGAAATGCAAAATGAAGCTTGAAAATTAGGAAATCATCACTAGCAGAACATGTCCCATAGCACAGCCTAACCTGCCGCTAGCCTTTGCAATCAAATACTGAAACGCACTTCCAAACCTAAATAATATCTTTTGCAAGTATTACCCAGCATTAACAAGCAACGAGCCGCTTTGGAAAACGTTCCCGGCATGTTAGTGCATGTAAAAGTAAACCCGCATTTTTTTTGTACACATAATACCTAGTTGTTATCCAAGATTTAAGACCTGCAAACACCTTCAAGATTGTGTTAGAATTAGAAGCACTAGCATTGATTTAGGCATAGTATAAAATCTAGTTTTACCTGCCCTAGTTTAAACATTATCAACATCTCCCCGTTTTCACATGTGGCCTTCCCTGCTTTGTCTAAGTTGGAGAAGAGGGTATGAAGAATATACAAAATGCACTATGGTAGGCAAGGGATGAATTTTCGCCTTGTTTGTACAACATATGTGAAATGTTTTGTGGTCATTTGCTGGTTGTTAGCACCAGTGTATGTGGGTTACCTTCGTCTTGGTAAATCTGCCCTACACAATTCAGATAGGTCGGCAGTTGCAGCCTTGAAGAAGTCTGCATGTTGAGACGATGGCTCTAGCGACAACCCGTGTTCACAAATGTTTCATCTCTTTAAGCTTGTCTTCCTCTCAACTTCTGTGTTTTTTGGTTTCATAACATGACACTTCTGATTTTAAAAAAATAATAAAATTGGTACTGCCTTGTATAATGCATTAATAATAGCTCATTTTTGTCTGTATTTTGGTAGATTTTTAATGCACCCATTGTCTTGGTTTCTTTTGAGCAATCATTTGACTGAGCTAGTGAACGAACGATTGCTCTTGATCGTTTATTTCCTGCCATCTTGCGTCTACAGTCTAGTACGTACTATACTAAGACTGCAAATATGAAAGAAACAAAAAGAATGATGTTTTACACTGTAGCACAGAAATTGGAATATTTAGTAATTGCGTCTTTTTATTTTATTATCAGCATTTCAAGTGCCGGAGGCATGACTGCTGGCTAACCAACCAAGAGTTCATTCCTGGGCGAAAGTGAAAAACATTTTACCCCCTCGCCGACGCTCATCTGCAATATTTTTTCGGTGGTTCATTCATTCAAATAGCATAACAATTTGAAAAGTAGGCCAAATGTGACGTATTAATTTGTTGTGCAGCACTGAGCAGCTGACTCGTCCGTCACTCAGGGTTAGCGCAGCCTATTTCACCTGGTTGAAATGCTCCCGCTGCAGATCGGGCACAGCACAAGAGCGACACGTGATCCTAAAACCAGCAACGTGTTTAAATTACACACACAATAAATGGACATCATGAGTACACGTTGTGGGGGTGCTGACACCCCCCCCCCCCCTGTAAAGTTGTCTGCGCCGCGTGGCGCACGTGTCTCGCCACAAGGCTTTATTTCGGTGGTGAACACCGCCGGGCGATAGATGGCGTTGTGTTCGCTTTGAGTACCACTGTTGGTAGAGTGGTAGCGCCGGTGGTGGCCCCTGGCGGAAGGCAGGCCTTGGTGGTGGGCGAGGGTTGAGCGAGTCTCTTCTGCGCGTGGCGGCTGCCGCGGACGGTTGTCTGTAGCGTGGGTCCCCGGTGCTCGGCACCGCGGGCTTCGCGCCGGGGTCCCACGTGGAAAGTCAGGCGTTGGCGACGCCACCTTGGGTATGTGTTAGTGTGTTGGGTGTGTTAGTGTGTGTTTATCATGTTATTGTGTGTTTAGTGTGTCACTGCGTTATGTTGTTTGTATGGTAGCGTGTTAATTAAAATTGATGTAACATTCGGCGGACGATATGGTCGTCTAAATTAGTAAGTTTATGTATGTTGTGTGCTTTGTACCGACCGCGTCTGCTGTGTCCGTTCACTGCAAGAGCGTGGCGATGCGCTCGTTCGCTCGCCGAGATCCCACAACGTATCACAACAAGAGAAATACGCAACACGTACGGCGGAAGTACATGTCAGTCAGCTAGATGACATTCTAGCTGACATGAAGGGGGAAAAAAGGTGGATCTGGGCAGGTCAAGCAATGTGAGGGAGAGACAAGTGACCAGTTCGAGAGATTGTGTGGCTACGAAAAAATGGAAAAAATAGCTGAGAAAGGCAGAAGGCTAGATGGGATTTGCACGCATAAGGTCAAATGAACTTGCACAGGGTTGGAAAATTGTAGGTAACTGGGAGAAGCCTTTGTATAGCATTAGACATAAAAAGGCTAATATACAAGAAGAGCATGTGTTATCAAGCTGTTGCACATCGCAGGTTGGTTTCAATACCAACAGGGTATTCAACTCACATCGCAGTGCTACTGCTTAGGTATTGTACTACCAACTGCTTTTCGACAGGTTTCTAGCAACGTTGAAACATATCTGGAACATTTAGCAAAACCATGTACAGCCATGTCCCCGACTCTGTATAGTGCATCTGCAGCCAGGCTTAATCCGTGGTACCTTGCGGAAGTTGTGGGCTCTGACATGGTGTGCCCAGGAGCACGTGTGACCTAATAGACATGATGGGCTGCTTTGCACAAGAGTGACCATGTTGAAAGGTGTGCCTGTTCAACCGTAGATGCATGGTTCCTCAGGGCACTTCCAGCACGTCAATTCTGAGAGATGACGCGTTTCGACTGATAATACAGCATGACTAGGCACTTGTTATTGTGCCTGGTCAAGTATGATACGGTTGACATTGCAAAGCTTCTTTAGCACCAACCACTCTACTTCTAAACTAAAACACATTGCATGAAGGAGGTAAAAAAAAATAAGCGCACATGCCACCACAATTTGGATTTTAAAATTTTACATACTTGCTAACACAACCAAATGAAGGCTTAACTTCCTCAAAAGGCCATGTTCTACAAGAAGTGAGTGCTCTTTTTGGGGAAGTCACACCTTCATTTGGTTGTGTTATGAAAGTATGTGCAATCCTAATTTGTGGCAGCAGGTGTGCTTTCTTTACCTGCTTCGTGCACTTTGCTTCAGTTTGGGCCGGGAGTGGCTGGCACTGAAGAAGTTTCGCGGTGCCAAGCGTTCAGCAGCCCACATCACTGAGGCAAACTGGAACCTGAAGATGAGGCATGCCCGCTGTTTCATACTGAAGAAGCCTGCTCGTACGACCTGGGAAGGCCTCCTGGGCTGGGAAATGTTCACATTGCAGAAAGTGTACGCTATATACTCAAAAAAAGGCCCAAAATTTAGCCACGAACCTCTGTTGCTGGCTGACTAATTACTGGCACTGCACCGACGAGTCGCGGCAAAAGTTGATGTCGCAGTTAGGGACTATTGCTTACAATACAATGTCTAAGCTCTAGCAAGAACAGGGGAAACACCCTCTTCATCAGGAGGATACGCTGGTGGGTGTTGTCATTTTTCAAGTGCAACAATTTGTGCCCATTTCAAGTGGATAAAAGTAATGGCTCCGTAGCAATGGAAGTGAATTTGCGTAACTTCAAGGCAAGACAAGCAGTCTACATGAACTTAGTCAAGGTTAAAGTCATCAAAACAAGAGTTTTGAGAAGCAAGGCAGTGGCTCTGAGTAAGGACTTGGAACTAGCAGAGTCTACTGCAGCTAGCAAAAAGAACACCCTTTCTGTGTTTTTTTCTTACGGCCAAGACACATAAGCCGGGTATTTCATTCAGGACAATTGTGAGGGATTGAGGTATCTGGCAGAACGTGATTAGACAGTTTTTAATAAAGCGGCCAACTCTGTTATCGTGAGGGACCCATTTTAAACTGAGAATTTCCCATGCATCATCCGCTTTCTTCAAGGAATCCTTCGATGGTTACTTGTTCTTGGTTGATGTTGAGGACCTACTTTATTCTGTCCTGCACGATAAATTGTTTTTATACATAAGAAGTTGCACATAAAAAGTTGAGTTGAGAAGTTAAGTTCTACATAAGAAGTTGAGAGTGGTGTGGTTGCCTTCAGAAATGCCACGGGCATGGTAGTATAAACGTTTATGGCCCTTCTTATGTTTTATGTTGAAGTCAACTTCATTAGCAATTTTATATTCAAAGACGAGGCATTTTCCTAGGCTCGTATGTTGCTCCTGTGTTGTGCAATTTCTTATGTTTGACCGTAACCGCTTTTATTACATTCCACCAACATATTAATTAGTGGGAAGTTTTGGAAGTTTTTATTATGGTGATAATTTTTTATTATTTTAAAGCAACTAACCACTGTCACATATTAGCCCATTGTTAACAATGTTCTAGCAGGCTATCGCAGACTGAAAAAGGATTGGTGTTTACACATGAGTTGAAGGTTTGTCGCTTTTTGCAGTTTTTGGCTTAGCGCATTACTTTGCAGAGTCGTCACAGCTGTTCGCTTTTTTGTTTAGGTGTGCTGAAAAATTGGTTCCATACGAGTTGACACACTTGTGAAAAGGGCCATAGCTGAACAATGCCCAGAGTATGCGTGTGCAGGGTCGGGCTCACACGTTATGCAAAAGACTTTTGAAAAACAGTTGGACAGGTTGTCTTAGGTTGGCTTCGCATGCTCCTTAATGCTGTAGCTTAGTTGCTCCACCAGACTATCAAGAGAGAATACCAAGGTACAGGGGTAGAGCAAGAGCGCAGAACAGCGAGACGTGAGGTTGCACCGTATATGCACCGAGCTGCACACGACCTAAAAATGGTTGCAAACAGAAATGGCATGCCAATTCTTTTTTCTGCACCACAAAAATTGTCTCACCTTTCTCATGTATACTAGTATACTATCTGATGGAAGCAACAAAGGTTGGTACGGCAAGAGGCACGCCAATCATTCACAAAATGTGTCAATGGGGTCGTTTACGAATACACACTATCCTACAGCAAAAGACAAATTTGTGCCTGGCAAGAATATACATACATGAGCACGCACAGAAACATGAACTTTCATTAAAAGATAATGATGGCGCACATTTGCTGATGCATTGCGATTCTTTAAGTGTGAGCCGTATCTGAATAAGGTTTGGATTATTGGCAGAAACAGAGACACTACTACACGAGAATGCATTCTGTATAAAATCACAAGGTTTATTAGGTATCAGTGATAATTTGTCTTTCTGGTAGGTAGAAAACAAGTTCACAGATTGTGATTAGTTCATATGCTCTCAATCTGAGCCTAGGTTACTCCACATGTGTGTGCCTATAATTTTTGATGCAGGATATGATGAATAAACTGTCGAAAATTTGAGCTCCCCTGGACCCTTTTTTCTCATTATTTCGTCATGGAAAACAGCCATATCTTTGTTACTTCTACAAGAACATGGACCGATTAGAATAGCAAAGAGCACGTCTAGCCTGACCTTTATGTCTTAAAAACCCGTAGCGGCAAATTTGACATAGAAGAGGGACACCGTGTCTGGGTGATGCAGACCAGGGAGACATGAGGCTATGACAAGTTACCGATATGCAATGCCAAGGAGAATGAATGCAGTGATTGTGCGAGCATTCCAAGCTAGAAAAAGGCTAGAAGTGATCAGTGCCGTCTGTCGCATAAACCATGAAATAACAAAAGCAACCACCGTCACCTCTGTCATCATGTGGAACGTAAGAGCACTACCAAAGGCTGCATCCATTGTTCTTCTGCACAGGCTTACGGCATGTAGCTCCATAAAAGTAAAGCGAGGGTGCATAAATCCTTCAATGTGGTAGTTTCGGAGCGCATGCTCAAATTTGTTGCGGCAAAATTATAAAAAAAAATTACTGCTTTTTTTCTATCTAGTCGTTTTAAAAAAACTTTAAATCGGTCTGAAGACAACGTTACATTTTACAGATTTTTGCTGGTGAATGGAAATTTTTCGTTATATTAGAATCTTCGTAAGATGGTTTTGCTAGATAAAGTTTTATTAGTGAAAATTAGACATTGTGGACCCATGAAAATTTTGTGAAGGGGGGTGGGTGCTGGAGATGACGTTTTGACAAGTGAACTTGTCTTTTACAAGGCTCAACAAAATTTTGAGAAATTTCGTTGATATTACTTTATCATTGTGCCTATCCCAAGAAATGAAGTTATTTATAATATAGAGGAGCCGAGAAATGTAACTTCATGCTATTTATTATTGCGCACACACACCATTGAAGACCAAAAGCTTGTATCGTGCACTGAATACTAAGCGGGGACAAATGTGCTAATCTGATAGTGAAGTAAACAACACATCCTTTTGATTAAAAAATAACACGCAGAAAAACTAGTAATAAGACCCAAAATAGCATGGTACTTCCTAAAGAATAAAAAGTCCTTCAATTTTCCATGTGATACTTGATTTAGCAAGACACATGTGCTTGAACGTATTGTAACACAGGGCAGGACTACACGGACACTAGAGAAGGGACAAATCGCTC